CATGCACACTCATCATACACACTCATCATACACACTCATTATGCACACTCATCATACACACTCATCATACACACTCATAAACACACACCAACACTCGTATAGTCAAAGTGATTTCCTACTCAAACAAGCATCGAGGCATTGGTGCTCATCTCCTCTTTACAATCCTGAGCCCGCGGTCAGAAATTCCGCATTCCTATGACGGGCAAGAGACCATCCATAGGACAAACACTGTTGATAACGCCCCTCATATCAGCGCTTCTCGATTTATCACCCCGGCGGGATGATTGGCTGAGTCAACCTACAACCAGGATTAGAAGTCGCAACCTTCAGATTGCGAGCCGCTCGCTCGACAATCTGAGCCACCTGGCACTCCAAAGAGCCTCATAGGTCATCGGATTCCTCCAGTATAAACACATATTCTGGTTATTCATTATACACAAAGACAAAGATCCCCCGTATAGTCGTTAACAGACTGTTGGGGAAAGTGCTGTTAGCAAACACCTATAAAGGTGGGCACCGTATTCGAGAAGGGGAGACCCAGAACCGGTGCAGATTTTCGTCACTCAGATTGGGCGTGAGCGGGAATGGGTCGCCGGGTTCGTCGCGCAGTGCGCTAACCACCACACTCACCGCTCCCCACACACAAAGATCCCCCGTGTGACCCCAGTGTCGCCTTGACAGATTGTTGGAGCAAGTGCTGTCGGTGACCATACACACATAGGGTACAAACATAAGGTACGCACATAGGGTACACACAGGACTGTCCATAGGGGAGTGCGGGCCCCAGGGCAAATCACACTGGGTGAGACCCCCAGTATTACATCTGACAACGTGATGTCGAAGCGCGGGCCCCCCCAACGCGCGGGGCCCGGGGCAGTCGCCTCGATTCTGTACCCTAGGGACGGATCTGGGTATACACGTACATTTACTCACCATACACAGGTTGTACAAGGTCACTGAGAATTCAGGCCAAGCCGCCACTCGAGAAACGAACTCGCCAAGAGCATTCGGGCTCCCGGCCAAACTTACAGCCTCCTCGATCTCTCTACAGAGAGTGGGGGGCCGAGGGGGAGGGGCAGAGGTGGTGGGCTACTGGGGGTACGTGTTCAAGTTCTGTAGTTCATGTTGTTAAAATTGGTTTTGTTCTTGTACCGGAAACCACCGGTTTGCCGCACATCTCGACATGTTTCGCCATAAAGATGAAAGTGTGGAATGGTTCTGACGAAAAAACGAAGGCAGCCGCCACAGCGGTGAATCGGTTCGCGGCACTGGATCTGAGCGCCACTGTGGCTAGGAGATGTTAACTGCCTCGCCTGGTATGCAGGAGGTCGTGGGTTCGATCCCGACTCTGACACCTGCTGTATATTTGGAGTTTGCGTCTCTCTCCCCGTGGTCGCGTGGTTTTATCTCCGCGTCCTCCGTTTTTTTTCCCTCCACATTTAGAATCAACGTGCGTTTAGAGGATTTGGCTACTGCTAGACATTTCCACGCGACAAGCCACTTTGTCGAGCTATCTTTCGCGGCCAGGTCGCTTCTGCAAAAGAGCCACATATCTCTGTGGGCCTTACCTGGTAATTTTTTTTAAAAATAGTTTAAAATCCAGAGGTCGCCGTTTTGATTCAATCTCCCAAAACGGCAGCTGTAAAAATGGACGATTTTTTTTATCTGCCTGACGACCCCCACCCAACACCTTCCCGGTCTCCAAACGCTCTGCCTGTGTCCACCCAGCACATGGGCTACTCCACATTGAGTCGATCGTGTGGTGGGGTAAAGTGTGGGTACTGCCACCGCTTCCAAGACGTCTCTGGTCGCCGTGGAAGAGAGTCGGCCGCTTTGCCTCTCTGGTGGAGATCCCTCCAGTGGATGGCCCTTCCGCCAGCAGTGGTGAGAGCGAGCAGTTGCAGGACTGCGCCCTTACCCTTTAACTAAGAAACGATGGCAATGCAATCTTGATTTGAAGCTTTCGTGACTGCAGTAATCCATACTCTTTGGTTATGCTGCTAATCCTGCATAATGCATGGGCATAATATGACTTTGAAAACCCCCCGCCCACCTCCCACGCATTTCACAATTAGCACTATTCGCATTCCTGCATTTCCCATAAATATGCTAAATTCCTCTTCAAATGCAAATTCTTTTGTCAAAGCTCTCTTCCTCCTCCCTCACAGCTTAAATAGGCACTCCAAGCCTAAGACGTGTCATTTAGACTCTGTCTTATCGACAGACATGTTCTTCACCTGAGGACGGCTGCTTGCGTTGTGGCCGAAACGTCGTGAGAATTATTTTATTATGTTTTATTTTTATTATTTTATTGCTTCCCTACTACGTGACTTTACCGAAAGATCCAAGAAGATACTTCGGTAAAGTCACGTAGGTAGAAAAATGATAATAGATCACGACGTTTCGATCGCCACACGTGACTTTACCGAAAGAACCAATGAGTATGAGGGCAATGCAGTATATATTGTACAATGGTGTGTGTGTCTTTGTATATATGCGTATAAATATACGTGTGTTGGTTTGTTAGGGGGAGCAGTAGTGTAGCGGTTAGCGCTACGCTGCGCTACAAACCCAGGGACGCGACTTTGATTCCCGCTCTCGGCCAACACCAGTGACGATTATCTGAACCAGTCCTCGGCTTCCCCTAGGTCGACTGAGCCTCAATTGAGTATCTGGTGCGGTGCGTAAACATCGACACTAGGGAGACAAAGGCGGCTGAGCGTGGTGCTGGCCACCCACCCCGTCGTGTGCCGTGCCGGCCTTCATAGGTGCTCGCTCACAGCACTTGCCCCAACAGTCTGTTAAAGGCTACGCGGCGGATCTTTGTCTTTGTTGTGGAAATAAAAGTGTTTGTGTAAACATAATTACGTAGCTAAGGCGACGACAGGACGGACCTGGTCGTCTCGTCACATCTGTATCTGGAGACCCTAATTGGGGTCTTCGTGTCTGGGGGCCGGGGTGATTGTGGTTGGGACTCAGCGAAGCGTCCTTCCTCCTTCACTTCACCACGCGTGGGGTCCCTCCAGATTCATTACCTCCTCTCCCGATGGGAGCCCAGGTGGGGAGAGCTACCTCCGCAGTGGGGGGGGGGGGGGGGGGGTGATTAGAGGGACCGTGCGCGCGACTTCATTAAAACTCCGTGGCAGGCACGTGGCAGCGGTGGCGGCAGAAGTGGTTGTCGCACTGCGAGAGATGAAAACCCGGCGAACTGAGTGAGATGACAAGGCCACGGCCTGCGTCAGTGGCGAGTGATATCGAACCATTTTGAAACTTTACACTTTAAAATGAAACTTGTTTTTACTTTAAACGTGTTTTTATTTTACCATGGTAAGGCACACTGAGCTACGTAGCTCTTCTTCAGAAGCGACCGGGTCACAAATGATCGCTCGACAAAGTGGCGTATCACGTGTGGAAATGTATAGCAGCCAAATACTCTAAACGCGTGATGTCGATTCTAAATGTGGAGGGAAAAACCGAAGGACCCGGAGAAAAATCCACGCGACCACGGGGAGAGAGACACGCAAACTCCAAATATACAGGCACCAGGGGTCGGGATCGAACCCACGACCTCCTGTGTAGCAGTCCAGGTAGTTAACATCTCGCCACCGTGGCAATGACCTGAGTCAGATCACAAGACCACGGCCAACATCATTGGCGAGTGATATCAGAACCGGTTCTGTCCCCCCCCCTCTCTCTCTCCAGAGCTTGAACCACCAATAAGCGATGATGAGGTTAGCAGGTTGGCTACGTAAGGTGCGAAAGAAGTTCGACATGCATGCGATGTTATGGCCATCATCATGGTAACCATCAATATCACCATCTTCATAATCATCCACAGTCCATCACAATCCAATCGTCATCGATCTATACATTTTTATTTATAATCAATTCTAGATTTCTTCACTAACCATCATCATCATCGGCAGCAACGGCAATGGCGAAACATCGAAAATCATCATTGCACAAAATCACGATCATCATTAACATCAGCCTCCCTCCCCACCCCCAACCCCTCCTCCCCTTAGAGTGTCACCACCCCCACTCACCCCCCCCTTTTATTAATAACCTCGCAATCTGTCCGGGCAAAGAATAACCCGTGAATCCCTTCCACAATCACAACCCCGACGACAGACGCATTCTCCCCCTTCCTCCAAACACCACCGCCTCCCCTCCCCGCCCCCTCCCCCCTCTAGCCGCCCCCTCCCCCGCCCCCTTCCCTTCTCCCTCTCCCCACTCGTGGTCGTCACGGCTACTGCCAGGCTAAGTTAGACGCGTCGCCTGCGCAGGGTACCGGTAGCACCGGCAGCGATGAGAGGAGGGGGGGGGGGCGAGGAGGGGGGGGGGGAGCCACGGCTCTGGAGAGAGAGGGGGGGGCAGTTAGAGAGGGGGGAGTGAGAGAAACAGCCGGGGGGGGGCAAGAGAGCAACTAGGGGGTGAGCTTGACAGGGACGTTGAATTGGGAGAGAAGCGATGAGAGTGAGGGGGGCGAGAAGAATGGACGGAGAGAGAAGGGAGATGAAGGTAGGAGGTTGAGAGGGGGATGCGAGAGTGTGAGGGATGGAGACAGCAGTGAGACTGGGACAGACTCAATGAGTGCGAGGAGGGGTTGGAGGGGCGAAATGAGAAGGAGGGGGCATGGGGGTCCTTGGGTGGGGCTGGGTGTGCGACGTCGGATTTTGCGATTGCAGAGGTATTAAAATCCCAGCGCCGCGTGAGCGAATGGGACGAGACGGGGGTGGAGGTTGGGGATGGGGAGGCGGCGGTGGTGGGGGTGGGGGCAGGAGTTGGGGGGCTGTCCGCGGGGGGGTGGGGGGGAGTGAATGAGTTTATGGATGGGGCACACGAGGAGGGAGGCGGTGGGATCAGAGGGCGGAGTGAAACTCGGTTTGAATAATCTCATCGCAATCCCAAATCTAGGGCTTGGGTGTTTATCTGTGGTAGTGGTGGTGACGGTGGTGGTTAGGTGGGTGGGTGGTTGGATAGTCGGGTGGTGGTTCGGTGAGTGGGTGGTTGTTTTGGGTAGGTGGCTGGGTATCGTTGAGTGAGTGGTGAGTAATTGGTAATTGGTTAGTTGGGTGCGTGGTTCAGTGGACATTTGATTGGTCGGGTGGTTTGATGATGTGAAGGGTGAGAGGGGTGGGGGTCTGGGTCTCTAATCTGCGCGACCCGCACCTGGGTACAGGTAGCACCGCGCGTCCAGCCGTCTCTCTCTCTCTCCCTGGTCTCAACCACGTCTCTCTCTCTCTCGTCTCTCTCCTGTCTCTCGTATCCCAGCCCCGTCTCTCGCCCTCTCTCTGTCTCTCATCTCTCCCCGTCTCTCTTACCCCATCTCTCTCTCTCCTGTCTCGCTCTGCTGTGTCTCCCGTCTATCCCCGGTCTCCTTCTCCCGTCTCTCTCTCTGTCGTCCGTCGTCTCCCTCCCTGGGCCGTCACGAGAGCGGCGAAGAGTCGCGCTTGGGCCAGAGAGGAGAGAGACAGAGAAGGAAAGTCGTTGGCTCGGGACGACACCCCAGGGTGACGCTTCCGCGCACATCGAGAGCGGCCAGTTTCAAGTCTCGGTGCGGTTCGAAGTTCGCGTTCCAGTTGGAGTCCGGGTTCCGTTCCGTGATCGGCGCCCTCTAATCGGAGTTACTTCGTCTTGAGTCGCCCATGCCCGGGATTCGGATCAACTCTCCGCGTCTCCCTCGCTGGGATTTCATGGCCCCGCGACCTCGTCCCTGAGCTCACCCTCGCCACCCACTCCATCATCCCCCGTCCTGTCCACCTGACCTTCTCCGTGCTTCTGACTGCCACCGTCACATCTGGACGGATGTTAGACATCATCGGATCGGACCTGGTCGGCAGATCACACCTGGACTAGTCGGCCAACGTCTGGTTGGTACGAGTCGGATCGAATCAGTTCCGGATTCAAATCGACTTGCAGTTCGGTCACACCTGGTCGGCTCGGATCTGTCCCCCTCTCTCATCTCAAACCACCACATCACCACCCCCATCCCCATCATCCCCACCATCCCCATCATTATCCCCATCATCATCATCCCCATCATCATCATCATCCCCATCATCATCATCCCCATCCCATCTTCAATCCGCACGCACCCATGGCGACGGAGGGCGCCGCCGAGTCGGACTCGCAGTGCGCCGCGCTCGTGCAGTCGCTCAACAAGGTGACCGCGTGCCACCACCACCTCGCCGTGAGCCTCGGCGGCTCGGCCGACTGCGCGCGACTTCGCGAGGAGCTGCGCTGCACGCGGGAGCGCGCCCACGGCGTGGCGGACGCGACGCGCGTCGCCCTCACGCTCCTCCTGCGCGACAAGGCGGTGGTGGGCGAGAGGCGAGCGGAGCTCGAGAGGCTCTGGGTCTCCTTCTCCTGCTGCCTGGAGCTGCTCGAGGGCGACATGAGGCGCGCGCTGGAGATCAGCGGCCAGTTCCCCGTGGGTGCCTCGCGCGTCCGCACGGGCATGAGCGGCACCACGGTGGCGATCGCCTCCAGGGCGCTGAGCGCCAAGGACGTGAGGAGCGCCGCGGCTGCTGCTGCTGCTGGAGGTGGTGGTGGGCCCGAGGACACGCAGGCTCTGGAGAAGGACGTGCAGGAGGTAACCGTTGTGTTTGCTGAACTTACTGGGACGGTGCGGTGGCGCGCTGTAGGTTAGCGCTACGCTGCGCTGTGAACTTGGCGACCCGAGTTCGATTTCCCGCTCGCGGCCAAGGCCAGTGACGATGATCTGAATCGGACCGCGGTCGGCTCAGCCTCAAATGGGTACCTGGTGCGGTATGTAGACATCGCCGCTGGGGAGACAAAGGCGACCGGGCGTGGTATTGGCCACCCACCCCCTCGTGTGCCGCGCCGGCCTTCATAGGGGCTCGCTAACAGCACTTGCCCCAACAGTTTGTTGAAGGCTATATGGGGGATCTTTGTGCGCGCTTGTGTGTGCGTGTGGCGTTAAGTTGTCTGTTGATGGCAATTCGCCAGATGTTGCATTCAATGAGACATATCCAACCAGATTTTGCATACAACCAGATATAATATGCAACCACATGTTGCATGCAACTAGATTTACAATGCAACCCCAAACGTTGCATTCCATCCAGATGCAGCATCCACACCGTATCTATCTAACACTGAATCCGAGATGTTGCGTGTATGGCCAGACGTCGTATCCCACCATATGTCGTTCCAATTGCTGCCAGCCAAGGTGGACGGACACACCTTGGTGGTAAGTGCCGAGTTATTTCTTCCAGGGTCAAAGGTCATCACAGCCAGTGATATCTCTTGCTCTCGATTCAGACATTGCTGCAGAGTCGATACAGACTTCGACGGGCCGCGCATGAGGATGAGACTGTGCAGGATGTCCTGGGTTCGATACCAACTCTGACGCCTGCTGCATATTTGGAGTTTTCGTGTTTCTTTCTCTCTCATCATCATCACGGTGGCTAGGAGATGTTAACTACCTCGCCTGGTATGCAGGAGATCCTGAGTTCGATCCCGACTCTGACGCCTGCTGTATATTTAGAGATTGCGTGTCTCTCTCATCATCATCACGGTGGCTAGGAGATGTTAACTACCTGGCCTGGTATGCAGGAGGTCCTGGGTTCGATCCCGACTCTGATGCCTGCTGTATATTTGGAGTTTGCGTCTTTCTCTCCCTGTGGTCGTGTGGTTTTGTCTCTCTGCGTCATCCGGTTTTTTCCCTCCACATTTAGAATCAACATCACGCGTTTTGGAGTATTTGGCGGCTATAAAGGTCCACGCGATGAGCCACTTCGCTGAGCTGTCATTGGCGGCCAGGTCGCGTCTGTTAAAGAGCTACGCAGCTCAGTGGGCCTTAGCTGGTTAAATAAATAAATAAAGTTTCTAGTTTTATCGTTCTTCGTCTTCATCATCACCATGATCTGCTACGAGGTCCTCCCTTTGGCTACTGACAATCTGGCTGCCGCTGCCGATCGACTTGGATGACACGGAGGAGGATCGTCTGATGGTCAGGCGCGGTGGTTGCACTGCTGCGATCCAGCGCATGTGAAGGCAAGGGTTGGTGGATCACGCCGAGATGATTATGAACCTTCGAAACCCGCCGTGCCGCCGCGAGGTGACCAGGAGATGGCAGAGGGTTCCTGAACCCGTCTGTGTAGCGGGCAGTGCAGGCGTGACGTATGTTGAACTTCGTTCGCACCGTACGTAGCCAACTGTGCTAATCGGAGGTGCGGAGCAAGGGCAACACATTTGAAACACTAAAAAACTGTTCTTAGAGAGACGGAGTGCGTCACCATGCCTTGATTGATGATCATCATTCAACGCGAAGCTTGAATGAGATTGATTATGTTGATGACGATGATAACAATGATGATTATTAGAAATTATGATCATTATAATCATTAGAAATGGTAATCAACATGACCGAGTCAAACAGCTTGATCTCAGCTGCGCAGTAAACATGGAATGTTGGGCCAACATTGGTACGACGTTTCCAACCACGTGCCAACGTTGGCTCGATGTTTACTGGGTGTGTATTGATGTAGAAATCATTCACTCATTGCTTTCCTCCGGTTGTACCACTCTCGAAGCTGCTGTGTTTGTGAGCCTCCTACATTAATACTGAACCCGGCAACTCCCAAAGGTATCCCAGTGTGGCTGCATGAGGGTTTGGCATTAATAATTAAGCATACCAACCCTGTAGTAGGAGGGTTTGCCAACTCTTCCAGATTCACCGGGAGTCTCTACTGGCGATCTCCTGCCGACTATTGCAATTAATCTGTGAGACTATTTTTAATAGAAAATAAATAAATTCGATGAATGCACATAATTCGTAAACAAGTTAATTGTAATCAATGACACTCCTGACAGCCACACACAATAAAACGATGCCTTGGTGGTGTGAACGGGATGAACAGTCGTCCAATTAATGGCATTACGTTATGTTGGGTAAAGAAATAAACATCCCTCGGAATAGCCTCAGAGTCGGCAGCCCTATGCCAGGGTGCCTTAGTCTGGCTCAATGAGCTTCTGCCACGAATACAGAACCATGCGAATCCCTCGCTGCAGGTTCCACTGCGGTGTTGAAGAGCTGCGGTGACAAAGAGGGCAGTCTCGCACGGATATCCCGAAATAAACCAAACCGCGAGGAATCTAATCCATTAGTGTGAAGACCAGGGATTAGAGACGGAATTACGCTGATAAGTCGATGGAAATGCAGCCCACAGACTCCTCACTCGCCGCCGTAACTGTGACCTCATAGCGGCAGCTCTCCAACGATCTAACCCCTCCACCCCCTTTGCTGGATCCAAATTTCCGGGCGCTCCAGTTTCCTCCCGCATGTTTGCATAAGTCGTTTTTAGATATAAAGAGGGGACCGCAGAGCTTGGACTATTGTTGGTGCCGGCTCACCGCGTGGTTGGTCATGACAAAAATAGAAATGTGTCGTTAACCCGCCACCAGCCGACACAGCCAACCAGTAAGGTTTGTCACGTAGAGAAAATGTGGCAATTAGTGACTACTTCAGCCTACCGGTGTGTTGGGGAGTAAATCCACAACATTCACAATTTGAGTAGTACGACGTTCCTCTGGTAATGACATCCAGCGTCATCGAGCGAGTGTCGGGTGGTGGCGGGTTAACGACGCATTTATACTTACGCGATCTAAACAACAACAACAAAACCTGTGAATACTAGTGGTCGCAAAAGTCTACGCGTCAACCCGCGTGGTTGATCTTCCCGTTGGTCTGCGGTTCTTCGCGTCTCTTGAGTCGTCTCGCCCTCCTCTCTCTCGCTCGCTCGACGAGGGTGAGGCGGAGGCGCGTTGCCAGCTGAGATTATGATTGTTAATCCAGCCCCGGATCGATTTCAAAATATCACTCAGCTTCTTGACGATCTTCCATTGGAACCACGCCTGCCGACCTCTCGCCTCTCATCTCACTCTACTCTCCTCCACGCACTCTCCTACCTCTCCCCTCTCATCTCACTCTACTCCCCTCCACGCACTCTCCTACCTCTCCCCTCTCATCTCACTCTACTCCCCTCCATGCACTCTCCTACCTCTCCCCTCTCATCTCACTCTACTCCCCTCTACGCACTCTCCTGCCTCTTCCCTCTCATCTCACTCTACTCCCCTCCACGCACTCTCCTACCTCTCCCCTCTCATCTCACTCTACTCCCCTCCACTCATTCTCTGCTCCGACCACCAATGATTTCAGTCGAAGTCCTCCGTTCAATCTTCGGTCCGTGGCGGGAGGGGTGGGGACACTCATTCTTCTCTGCTTCGCCCATTGTCTGGAATGCCCTTCCTACCAGCCACTCGTGCTGTGGACTCATTGCCCCCATTCAAGTTCAGGTTCAGCATCCTCACTTGTTCTCCCGCCTCTGACCCCCCCCCCCCCCTCTATCAAGTCAACGCGCCCACTGTCTCTCTACAGCTTCTAGAAATGCGATCGCATTTAGTCTCTGAACCACGGCTGCCTACCTCGACAGGACAATAAAACAAAAACATGGACGGAACAGGAAAGAGAGGAATACCTAACGGACAATGCCTTGAGGACGACGTCATGAGAGAGGTCGGTGCCAGAAAGATGTGGCCACTACTTGGGCATATTGGCACAACAGTGGAAACAAATGACGAAATGTGCAGTGAACAAGTGGGAGACGCTTTGACTTTTCGAAGCTATTAACGTACATTTGTTATCATGTTACAATGTATTATCCGTTCTTTTTCCATTAAAAACGATAGTCCCATATAAGTATAAAACATTCTTAAGCACCCTGTGTTATAGATAAGCAGACAATTATCTGTTTTCACAGAGCTGTGCGTCCCCAATATGAATGTATACATGTGACACAAAAAAGTGTTTTTGCGCATCTCATCAGCCGCACGGCCTTCTGGGAGTGTATCTCGACAGGGGCGGCGCCATTGGTCATCAAGACGATCAAACCGTGGACCCTTTTCGACATTTAATGTCTCATCGGCAGCAGAGACAGATTTTGCTGGCATCAACGGTGATGAACTGTCATGTGTCTACTTTATAGGGGTCCGTCCATAAATGACGTCACGCACCTAGGGGGGGGGGGGTCAGACATTTGTGACGATGTGTGACGAGGGGGGGAGGTGTTTGAGAAATGTGACGTCACATCAAAATGCGCAACATTAAATAAATATAGACAACACGTTCTACTTAATTAAATAGACTTTTTAATAAATATTTTCTCCTCCAACATCAGAGTGCAGCGGCACATTAAATACGCACTACAATGACAATAGTTTAAAGCGATTTGAAGCATGTTTTTTGTGGGGGCGGGGGGGGCAAAGCTTTGTGACGTCATATTTGAGGGGGGGTCTGACTTTTTGTGACGCCGCGTGACGAGGGGGGGGGGGGGAATCTCTCCAAAATCGCGTGACGTCATTTATGGACGGCCCCTAGGCAAGCAATCCGGGTTGCTTCAAAAATATAGACAGTACAGATATATTATCATTGGCACATTTGCCCATGATGCGACAACTTCACTTAGCTCTGGCGGGTGGTGGAGGGTTCTGGTTAAAAATCGACATTTAACAGGCGACGATTTTACCAGAAATAAACACATTTTAAATTATAATACTGTATTGGCCGTAAAAGCAGCCCACGTATAAAAATAACGACTTCACCTCAACATCGGCAAGTGTGATCATCCAACCAGGTAGCTCATGCGGTTGTTGACTTCAACCCATCATCCTTCCCTATTTCCGGGGTCGATAAAATTGTTACAACTATGTGGGAAAGTCTACAGTGGATATGGATAGACTTGACCCCCCCCCCCCCCCCGCCATCGAACAAAGACGGTCACTGCATCGCGCACTTTCAGATGCGCTCATGCGGCCGTCTGGAACGTTCTTCCTCTCGATATTATGTACTTTTAAATCGAGATTGAAAACTAATTTCTTTAAAACTGCTTTTTGTGTTTAGTTTGCTGTCCATCCCCCGCCCCTCCAATTAGCGCGGTTTAGCTACGCACGGTGCGAAAAAAGTTTAACGTACATACAAAGGCTCAAAGCGTCAAGCGACCTGCAAGAAACAACACTATTATCAAAGTTGTAGTCGATAACAACTTCTGCTCCTGTGCATGTCGAGGTTAAGTCAGCAGAGTTATCTGTGTGGATACCGAGGTTATGAAGCCACTCTCTTTGGAGGCTGGGTGAATCTCGGTGACATTGCCCTCTAATCGGCGGTGCAGGAGGCAGTGTGGGATCAGCTGATCCATGATCTGTGAATTGGCGGTGCAGGAGGCAGTGTGGGATCAGCTGATCGATGGTCTGTGAATTGGCGGTGCAGGAGGCAGTGTGGGATCAGCTGATCCATGGTCTGTGAATCGGCGGTGCAGGAGGCAGTGTGGGATCAGCTGATCCATGGTCTGTGAATCGGCGGTGCAGGAGGCAGTGTGGGATCAGCTGATCCATGGTCTACGAATCGGAGGTGCAGGGGCAGGCGTGGGATCAGCTGCTCGATGGTCTGGCTCTAGTGACCACATGAGTCACGTTGCGGACCGCTCTTCATTTTACGTTGACGGAGGAGGTAACCGCATCCGCCGTGCCCTGTTCTGCAGCGGTTCCGTGCTGACCACAGGTCGCTGGTGTTAGGGGGTCGAACCCCGGGAGTCGTCGAATAGCTGACACAACTGCATTTGCTAACCCCCCCTCGCTGTCTCCCCTGACCCCTCCGCAGCTCGGCACGATGCTCAACGAGATGGAGAACAAGGTGAACGTGCCGCGCTGGTCCGTGGTGGCCGCGCGGGAACCCGGCGCCGAACTTCACTCGACGGCCAGCGGCTCGTCCGTGGCCATGCTCACAGAGGAGGGGGCCCGGGGGGAGCCGTGCTGCGACCCGGGCCGCCGACTCGTGGCCGCGTTCTGCGGAGGGGCGCTGCTGCTCGCCCTCGTGCTCGCCGCAGCCGTGGTCATGTTCGCATGAGACGGGGGGGGGGGCGCAGGGGTGGGGAGGGGGGTCAAGAAATCGATTCCAAACAAACTAAACCAATATCCGGATTTTTGAGTACAGGACGCAAAGGCCCCCCCCCCCCCCCCAGGAAAAAAACGCCGAGCGGCCAGCAACAAGCGGCACTATGTAATGCACCTAGGGATACGTATGGTGCAAAAGAAGTTCAACATACATACGTATATACGTCAGGGTGTGTGAGGTCAGCAGGAGGAGGATGAGTAGAGGAGGTCAGTAGAGCAGCCCGGTTGGATTGGACCGTCCCGGTGCTAGTACGGTCGTGACCTTCTCCGCCTCTGTCCAATCCCCCCCCACCCCAGCACCCCCCCCAGCACCGCCCCCCCCAGCACTTTATAGCCAGGAGCCTGGGCCCCAGTGCAGTTGCACCGCCTGCACACTCGAGAGGAGGTGTCGTGACGTCAGAATGTGCGATAAGGTCGCCACGCTGTGAGCGGATGTCACGAGGCCAAGACGTGTCGTTGAGATTGGGTTTCGGATGGTGGCCGGTTGGTTGTCGATCATCAGCCGTGATCTACACACTGCTGCATGAAGACCTCCTACCCAAAGCCGTCGCCCCATTCCTCGAACGGGCTTGCGATGCGACAAACTGCCTGGCTCCTTCCTGCACAATGAGCTGGTTGCATCGCTCCATCTGCACGGCGAACGTTGCGTTTATTCCTTTGGCGCCGTCCATAAATGACGTCACGCACCTAGGGGGGGGGGCGGGGCAGACATTTGTGACGATTTGTAACGGGGGGGGGGGGGTTGATAAATGTGACGTCACATCAAAATGCGCAACTTTTAATAAATATAGACAACACGTTCTACTTAATTAAATAGACTTTTAATAAATGTTTTCACCTACACCATCAGAGTGCAGCGCCACATTAAATACGAACTACAATGACAATAGTTTAAAGCGATTTGAAGCATGTTTTATTTTCAAAATGAAAATATGGTTTTGGGTGGGGGGGGGCAGAGCTTTGTGACGTCATATTTGAGGGGGGGGGGTCTGACTTTTTGTAACGCCGTGTGACGAGGGGGGGAGGGTGTGGTCAAAAATCGTCCAAAATCGCGTGACGTCATTTATGGACGGCCCCTTTCGTAAAAATAAGCCAAAGGGTAACTCAGTGGGGTTCGCAATGCTCCGTGTCACACAGAAGATACTGACCGAGCCGGCGCCGCTGAGTACCTGGGTTCGAATCGGGGTTTCAGCCACTGCCCGTGATGAAACTGAGTTCCCCCACGCATGGCAAGTTGATGGTCTCAGGACGGCCACCGATGTCTCAATGTGCCCATCGCGTGCAATCAGCGAAGGGGCGTTGAGCCGAACGTTATGCGACCTCTTGCTGCAGCATTCGCACAAACAGCTGCTCTTGCCGCCATACCCCGATGTCTCGAGTGATTTGTTTGATCCACGCATCACGGGGGGGGGGGGGGGGGGACCACGGGGGGGGGGGGCGCCATTCCTTTGAGGGTCGTGGCAGTGCAAACTCCGAACGCCGACCGCCAACTGAAGTGAGCGCGACTTGCTGCTGGAGTTTGCGCACCAAGACGGGGCGACGTGTCCACAAAGTGACACCACAGCCGTCTCCTTACCAGAACTCAGCTCTCTCTCGAGATCGCTCGGAGACCGTCGCAGATGCAACGGTGACAATTTCTGACAAAGTCAAACCATCGGATGCCAAGAAGGCGTCGTCGGCATCGCACGCGGAAGAACTGCGGCTGATCCAAATCACCAAATGTCTGCACAGATTAATGTCGCTGCGTTGAACTCGGGGTGTTCACTTACAAGAGGTCGGACAGGCGTCAATGAGGTCAGTAGAGGTCATGAGGTCAATAGGTCAGGAGGGGCTCACATTCCAGGAGGTTTTAAATGCAAGCCTCACTCCAGCTTAGCGAAACCGGGTTTGGTGGATCACGCTGGGATTGGCGTGTGATACTCCTAAACCTGCAGGGCTACAATATCTGAAATGTGAAGCGTGAAGGACACGAATATGTCTACGATTTTGGAGGCGGGAAGATTGCTGCGTACGTACAGATGTGTGTGTGTGGATGTGTGTGCGCGTGCATACGGTTGTGTGTATAAATGTGAGTATACGCGTGTGTCTGTGTGTGTGCTCTCTAGTTAGCGGTTAGCGCGCTGCGCTACGAACCCGGCGAGCCGAGTTCGATTCCAACTCACGGCCAACACCAGTGACGATTATCTGAATCGGTCCTGGGCTTAGCCTCAAATGAGTACCTGGTGTGGTGTGTAAACATCGCCACTAGGGAAACAAAGGCAGCCGGCCTTCAAAGGTGCTCGCGAACAGCACTTGTTCCTACAGTCTACTAAGGCTAATTGTTTTTTGTACTCTCTTTGTATACTGTACATGCATGTTTTTCTGTATGTATAAGTGTATTTATGTAAGTGTATGTGTATCGATATGCGATGGTATATATGAGTGTGATGCGTGCTGGCACAGTGGTTAGCGCACTGTGCTACAAACCCGGCGATTCCCGCTCACAGCCCAAATTCGTTGATGAATATATGAACCCATCCTGGGCCTCCCCGAGGTCAACTCAGCCTTAAAATGAGTAACTGGTGCGGTGTGGAAACATCAGCAATGGAGCGACAAAGGCGGCTGGGAGGGGTGTTGGCCAGCCTCCCCCTCGTGTGCCTAGCGGGCCTTCATAGGTGCTCGCGAACAGCACTTGCCCCAGCAGTCTGTTCAAGGCTATACGGGGGACCATTGTATTTGTGCATGTATGGTGAATTGACATCACGTGCTTAATTATTGCTATGGTTTTAACTTTTACCCCGTTTCAGGCGTTGCACGAGCACAGACTGTGAGTGTATAAACAAAATAAGAATCGCTTTAACCCTTTCTGGCAATCAGACAGGGTCTTAAGATGTTCAAACAAGGAACCAAGTGCTGCATTAACCACACGCACTTGTGGTGAACACGGAAACAAAACACGCTCTGATTATTATTATAGACATTGTCTTTGGCTAAAGCCGATTCTTATTTTTTATACTGTGATGTTGGCAAAAAAAGGGTCCCATGATATGTGAGTGTGTCTACAGCAAAACAGTACACTCTCGGTATGCCCCATGTACGCGCTGTGTGTGTGTGAAATACGATGTATGAATGAATCATTTACCACGTGTGCACGGGGCCGATGCATCCTGGGGCAAACGCCGCGGTTTGCGTGACGTGACGCAATGGGGTGAGCCGTTCACAGCCAACGTGTGCAGGCGCGGGCTACTGCGACGTTCTTGCTCAAGCCACCGGCGGCGAAAGGACCTCCACTACCTTGGTCTACTCTTCCACGATGACCAGACGTCTTGGAAGGATATGTGAGAGTTACCCACACTTTACCCAATCACAGGCGAACGCTGTCGATCGACGAACTGTGATGCATCTACTGTGGAGGGGGTGGGGGGTTGCCCGGGTGAACTGATATCGCCCCATTGAAAGTAAGAGGCGGTAAATAGAGATGAGTGTAGTATCTATAAATGGATCGCCCTCGATGTACGCGGTTAAAATGCGTGCGGCGCGTCTGTTAATAACGGCATTATAAGTTGCACTCATGGGTATGCGTAGAACAATCAGAGGCAATTTAGCAAATATACACATAAATATGTCGTAATAATTATTGTTATTAATGCCAAAAACTGCCAAAAAATATGTTTCGAATATCTTATCCGACGTTTCGGGCTGTCGATGTCATTCAGGATCCGCGATTGGTTTGCGATGAAACAAGATGGGGCAGTTTAGTGAGTTCAAGTTGTTGTTTTGCATGAGACGTCGTAATCTCGGGATTGCAAGACCGGTTGGGAGTGTAAGACGCATCCGAAAAACGTGTGCCCGGTTGTCAGTGAAGTTACACAACAATCTGGTCTCTCTCACAGCTACCGGGTTTATTAGACGCTTCGAAACATTTGCTTCCAAACGCTGGAGAACCAGCGCGTGGTTTAATCCCGGGAATAAGGTGATTATGTTAATAAAGCTCCACTTTAAAATATGCGCGTCTCTCGTGTGTTTGCTGCATGTTCCATGATTTCGTGTGTTTGTGTGTGGGGGGGCGGCGATCGTGTAGTGGTTAGCGCGTTGCACTACGAACCCGGCGACCCGAGTTCGTATTCCCGCTCACGGTCAACATCAGTGATGAGTATTTGAACCGGTACGAGAGTATGTTTTTTTGGGTCGTACCCTTCTCGTACTCTTCTCGTACCAACTTAGGTGGTCGATTAATCCGAAGCTAAGTTTCTTCATTTTTGATAATCGTTCTCCCCTCTTGTTTTTAAAGGAGGCTGCAAGAATTTAACTCACAAGTTATAAAAAATAAAAGATTATAAAATGGCAGGCAAAGATTCCTTTCTCAAAATGCCACTTAGCGTTGATAACGGATGAGAATTTTACGCATTTTTAATACATATTTATAAATCATGCTAGATTTGGAATTACATTGTTTTTTGTCAATTCCAGTAAAAAAACAATAAAACATGTTTACAGAAGATGCGTTTTTAACAGTAAGGAACTTTCTACAAAACAAATGTCGAAAAAACTCTATTTCGCTACAACTCTGCTTGACATCTAGCCCTTATTTTCCAACTTTTTCTTTGCTACGATCTAAGATGCGAAATTGTACCGTACTGGTACGGTGCGAAAACATTTTCAGAGGTACGGTATGATATTTGTTTCGAGTACCAAATACGAAACAAATATCGTACTGTACCGGACCGCCACCATGGGCTGGCTAATAACACTCGATGTGTGCGTACAGTGCAGTCTATAACAACTGGTATGCAGCATCCAATCACTGTCCAGGATTAACCTGCTTAGCTTCCCAGATCGGGCGCATAGATGGTGATCTGTGGCTGCGTGGTGGGCAGCAGAGGGCAGTGCAGTTGTATTGTACGTCTATGCTCCCACTTGTATACACTCTCCACCTTCAAAATAACCCCTCTACCCGCACGGAGTGGGGGGGCC